AACTAATTGACAATGCTAGAACAGAATTGAAGGTAATCCAATCACAACTGACTAGGCAATGTAGTGATGTGATGATCAATGAAGAAAAGATCCTCCTCCAGAATCTAGAGAAGTGGTCAGAACATATTGAAGCAAAAATCTACAGCAAGATGAATTAAGCTTGGAGATTCCAACACCAAGTATTTTCTCTGTAGTTATTAAGGAAAGGACCTCGAGAAAACAAATATCTGAAAGTAGGTCGTTATCAAGAACAAATCTCACCATACCTGGAGAAATACAAAGAGAAATTATAGATTTCTACATGAGTCTTGTGGTTTTAGTATACATTGTATTACCAGTAATAGACAAATTGGTTATGAGAAGGAAACCTACACTTAATCTAAGAGTAGGAAACTGACCTATGTACTGAAGTCATTGGGTGCATCTCTATATACTACCAACAAGCATTATGAAAGTTGTTGATGCCTATTGTAGGAAACTGACCTATTTACTGAAGTCATTGGTTGATTTTAAGGGTCAAACAGTATCTAAAAAATTGAAAAACTACTCGCACTTGTGTAAGTGGTTCAATACTGGGCAATATGATTCAAATGAAGTTGTTTCAGCCTTATTAACTGAAAAAGGAAAAGGTTGTCATCTGTATCTAATGCATAACAATAATGAGCAAGTTAACACTGATGTATCTTTAAACAACTTCGTCAATCTTGTAAACACGTTGTTAGTTCCTTTTGAGGTACAAATGATTTTATTGGATTCTAGGTGCTACTTTGGAAATGCCTATCTAATTATAGTGATGTGTTGGCTGATGCACATCAACCAGTACGTAGACAAGATCACTTGCGACATGTACATGATATGCAATAAGTTAATGCTAATTTGTTTCTGGTTGGAAATTCCTAGTTCAGCCATACTAAAATGGCATCAACCTAGTTTATCTACTACTAATATTAAAGGATGGAAGAAAAAGGTGGAAGCATATCTCTTAGAGCTTGAACATGGACTACAATATCTCAACTTAATAGAAGAGTCTAAGTATGAAGATGAAAATGCATACTATGTGATCGTTGTGGATAGGCTTGGTCAATCACGTCTGGTGCAAATTATTCTGGGTGCAAATTCACATATATCTATATTGGTCTTATCGGTGGAAGATGATGATTCTCATTTCTATATTATTATGACTGAAAATAGATGCGAAGAAGTTGCTATGAATTGCTTACTTTCTATTAACAATACTGAGCAGATACTACTAAAATTTATGCATTACTCGAACCTTGAGGACAAGGTTCTTTTAGAGGCGTGGAATATTGTTGTGAACGCGTATGGTCTAGAGGTTGGCCGAACTGTTGGGCCGGGGGCCAAACCACAAAGGGGCCCAAGAATTAGATAGCCCAATACTAGATTAGTGTGGTTTACTAAATCTTGCTAGCCTAACATTGTGGAATAAGGGTGCATTGCTACAAAGTGTTGGGACTATGCCAACAAGCATGATCAACTAAGATTAGATGGGTTTACTCATACTATATCAAAAATCAAGTTATCTTCACAACGCCCATCCCTAAGTAGGCAATTGCGATGGTCAAACAAATTAATGGTAGCGGAAAGATACTCAAAGATGGCCCATTAGCCAGAAGACGAGGCATAAGCATTATTGGTCTAATCTATTTTCAACTACTGAACGTAACTAAAATGGTAAGGTGAAAATGCATGATGTTACAGAATGATGCAAAGCCAAAATCTAAGTTACCACGTGGTTTGACTTTCATGGGAGGATAGGAATGTGAGGCAACAAATTGACAATGCTAGGACAGAAATGAAGGTAATCCAAGCACAACTGACTAGGCAATGTAGTGATGGGATGATCAATGTAGAAAAGACCCTCCTCCAGAATCTAGAGAAGTGATCAGAACATATTGAAGTAAAAATCTACAGCAAGCTTGATTAAGCTTTGGAGATTCCAAGACCAATTATTTCTCTGTTGTTATGAAGTAAAGGACCTAGAGAAAACAAATATCTTAAAGTAGGTCGCTATCAGGAGCAAAGCTCACCACACCTGGAGACATACAAAGAGAAATTATAGATTTCTACATGAGTCTTGTGGGTTTCGTATACATTGTATTACCAATAATAGACAATTTTTTAATGAGAAGGAAACCTACACTTAATCTAAGAATAGGAAACAGACCTATGTAGTGAAGTCATTGGGCGCATCTCTATATCCTACCAACAAACATTATGAAAGTTGTTGACGCCTATTGTAGGAGCTATGTGTGTCAGAGACAAATAAGATGACCAAAGCTTTAGTGGCTTGGGAGAAGGTATGATAACCTAAGGTGTGTGGTTTACTCAATCTTACTAGCCTAACATTGTGGAATAAGGGTGCAATTGCTACAAAATGTTGGGACTATGCCAACAAGCATGATCGACTAAGATTAGATGGGTTCACTTATAATATATCAAAAATCCAGTTATCCTCACAATGCCCATCCCTCATTAGGCCAATTGAGATGGTCAAAAAAATTATTGGTACCAGATAGATACTCAAAGATGGCCCAGTAGCCAGAAGACGAGGCATAAACATGATTGGTCTAATCTATTTTCAACTACTGAGCATAACTGAAACAGTTAGGTGGAAATGCATGATGTTCCAGAATGATGCAAAGCCAAAAAGCTAAGTTACCACATGGTTACACTTTCATGGAGGATGCTAACAACTGACAGATTGATCAAATGGAGAATAAACATGGAGCCACAGTGCGGCCTTTATAGAATCACCGGTGAAAGCAGAGACCATTTATTCTTCTCATGCAATTATAATATTAACATATCGTCAAGACTCATGCAATGGATTAGAAGACCAATGGTTACTTCCAAAGCTTGGGAACTACATTTAGATGGGGCAACTCATAATTGAAAAGGGAGATCACACACTGTCAAGCTTTTAGAATGGTTTTCACTAAAGCAATTAATGCCATTTGGATAGAGAGGAACTTGAGGATTTTCGAAAAGAGGAGCAGGTATGTAGAGAGTACAGTCGGGGAACTAGTTTGCAATGTTAGAGCTACCAATGGAAATCAACTCCTATTCCAAGAACTCCTATTTTAATCAATTGAGCTAGACATTAAGATTAGGCTATGTAAATAACTATGTCTACTGATTTAGATAGCTAGTTTGAGATTTAATCATGTATAGTCAATATATATATATATATATATATATATGACTGAATTTCTACAAAAAATATCACTGAGAAATAGTTTTTGATTCAACTCCAGAGGGTCAAGACTACCATAATTGACATAGCTTAGTTAATATTTTGGCAGAAGTACTCATTACCCCCCTGAACTTGAAGCTTTTTATACAGTGTACACCTAAACTAAATTTC